CAGAAGGTATGGGTTACCTTTCCTAGAACACCGATATTGGAGTTATTGAATACTTTCAGTATGAGCTCACATGGCTCATTTTGCTGGGTAGTGGTAGTGGAATTCAACAATCAACCAACAAGCTTTTAAGTCAGGGGTTCTTAATCTTTTTTATGTCAGACCTCTTTGGAAGTCAGGTGAAGTCTATTAAATTTAAAATTATTATTTTACTATATTACTATATTACTATTTAAATTAGTGTTCTTAAATACATAATACAAAATGCAGTATATTATAAAGGAAAATGTATAAATGGAAATATGGTTATTAACTTAAAATAATAAAGTTCAGGTGCCCTAGGTAAAGAATTATTAACTTAAGTGTTCATTGTGTGCCAGGTGCTGTGCTTTATCTGTGTTCTGAGAAAACTAGGTCAGGAGTGAAAATACCTGTCCTCAAGGAATTTACATTCTAGAAGGGGAGAAAACATATTATAGGGATGTGTTAGCAAATGGCTCTCCCCCCAAATGTGAACACATTTTTAAATTTAATTTCCACTGTTAGCATTATTAATAGAAATATAAGACATAAATATCAAAAGTAAGGTGACCATAGAGGGGAAGACCCTGGTAACTAGGGACAAAAAGAAAAGCCTTGTACAAAAGGTGTCACTTGAAATGAGCCTTGAAGGAAACTCACAATGTCTAAGTAGACTGGAAAGGTAAAAGGGAGGCAAATTATGAAAAGATTCAAATGCCCAAATAGAGAAGCTTATATTTGATCCTAGAAGCACCAGATCTATTAATGGGGGCAGTTTGAAAAATGGTGGTTATACTGGACAATTAGGGAATTATTGATGATTTTGGAAACTGCAATTTCAGTTGAGTGATGTGGTCAGAAGCTATACTGCAGGGGGTTTAGGACATTGCATTAGTAGGGAAAGTGGAGGCAACAAATGAAGTTGCCTTTCTCAGTTTTCCTAAGAACAAGAAGAAAGATTTTTTTCTCTTGGAGAAATCCTCAAAGTCATTCTTATTTTCAGCCTTCACATAGGGAATATTCGAACTCTCCTCCATTCAGCTCCACTGAGTTGATTCGGTTTCTTCTTTTGGGGCACAGTATTTATTAAAACTCTCTCATACCTGGGATTTGTTGGGGACCCTTGGGGTCTGGACACCAGAACATCCTGCAGCCCACCATGCTTGTTTTCACTATACTTCAATGGTGTGTGGGATAGTGACCTTAAAAAAAAAACTCTTAGAGGTATCTCAAGGTAGGAACAGAAAGTTTATTTCAATTCTCGAGAATTGGGTGTTCCTCTCACCAGCATGATTTCTGATGGAAGAAGTCAAGTACAGAAGCAAAAAGCCAGATTAAATAGCAGAAACAGGGAAAATTCCCCCTCCCACCAACTATCCATTATTTGGCTTACAATCTATGCACAAAAATCTATTCCCAGAGACAGAGAACAAAGAAACAATATACATACCCATAACCTTAGTTTGCTGCAAAAATGAACAATTTAGTATGCACGATCAAGCTAAACGCTGCTGTGGGAAGGAGCTAGATGCTGCTGTGGGAAGGTCACCATGACCGAATGTGGAGGTACAGGGGGGGTTTCAGACTTGGCAATCTTTAACTACTGATGTCAGACTGTGAGAACAAGGGAACTATAGAAATCTATACTTATCCTATACTGCCTTTTGAACTGATCTCCAAGTTCAGGATAATTTTATCCCAAACCTTAATTACACTAACAAGTCTTCACAGGGGCATCCCACTCAATGGGAAGGGGATGAAAATCTATACCCCCAAAGAGTGACCATTAACCATTCCCAGTAACCTTTGCTGGGTCATCCTTCCTATTTTGCCCCCCTAACTGGGGAATACAGCAAGGGACTGTATGAGGTCCTGTTCTTTGTTCTCTCTGCTCTTTTTCTTGAGGAATTCATCTATTAACATTGGTTTAAATATCATCTCTTTGTAGACACACATTTCTATGTCTATGTCAATGTCCATGTCTATATGTCTCTATATATGTAGACACATGTATCTCCAGCCCTAATCTTTCCGATCCTCCAGTCCTACATAATCAATTGCTTGATGGACATTTCCAACTGAATGCCCCTGAAGTATCACAAGCTTAATATGTCCAAAGCAGAACCTAACATTCCTCCTTCTGTCCTCCAGCCGACCCAACCTTCTTTCTTTCAAATATTCTGATTTCTGCTAAGAGCACCAGTATCCTTCCAGCTACACAGGTTTGCAAATCAGAATCAATCCCTATTCTTCATACTCTCTAATCCCACATATTTAATAAGTTGCTGATTGTCATTTCTACTTCCTCAATATCTCTCCCCTCTGTCCTTTCTCTGTATTCACTTGACCTGTCTTTCAGGACCTTGTTACTTCTCACCTGGGCTATTAAATAGCCTCCCAATTGGTCTCTCCTCTCAATTCTTTCCCCCACTCTACCCTTAATCTATACCAGAACACCTGCTGAACTGATTTCCCCAAAGTGCACTAAATCACTCCACTATTCAATAAAGCTAATAAACTCTAAGCTGAATTCCCTTCTAAGGGAACTTTGCAAATCCAGAAAAGGAGGTTGTACTGAATTGAAAGGACTTTAGGGCCTTAGTGTAAAAGTGGAACTCACTAAGTGAGAATTGTGTGAAATGGTTATGAGTCTCTGTGCATTTTCTTCATTGTTTACCTGGTCTTCGGTACCTTTGCAACATCTGCAATTTCTGAGGGGGGAAATGGAGGCTGTCCTATAAGCAATGAGTATTTATTTCTTTGAGTGCTTGAGAGAGGCTGGGGTACCTGTTGTGCACATTTATGGAAACCTAGACAAGAACTATATGTAAACTATATTCAGAGATTTCCCAAAGTAAACACTGGCTGCAAATATTTAAAAAAAAAAAGGTAAAAAAAAAATGGTGATCTCTTGGGTAGTCCCAGTGATTAGGCTTTGTGAGTGTGTCAGATTGAACCTATCAGACTGTTGTGTGAGGCTCAAAATATCACATTCCAGAAGAAATGCCCCAACCCAAAGTAAAAAAGACTGGGATATTTCCTGGCTGTCCTTCCTCTTCTTGAGGGAAAATCTTGAATTACATGAGGCAGAGAATACTTGCCTTCAGGAAGAAATTGGGAACGGACACAAGGGATTGAGGAGTTAAGACAATTACCGCTTACCTTAATTAAGAATCTTAACCAGGGTGTATTCCTGAAATTTTGCTGAATAAAAGTAAACCAAGAAATCATAAATGCTTGCCTCTCGTTCATTGCCCGGCTTGAAAAGAGGATTGTATTTTTCACTGAGTTACAAGATTTAGGGGAAGGGACAAATGACTATGCTGCTCACGTTTTCAAGATAGTAATATTCAGTAGTCGATACGACACATCTTCCCAATCCAGCAGAGACCCCAGCTCCAGGCCCCAGGTTACTAAGCACTACCTTCTGCATCTAACCGCCATTGAGCTGCCCTCCTCTGGGCATAGCCAATGAGAGATGATGATTCCCCATATGACTGTAGAGACCTAGATGATTCTTTATAAAAGCAGTTGTCTTTCCCGCGAATTCTATTCCTCTTCCCTGGTTAGGAGGAGGCGGAAGGAGACGAGATTGATGTATGCACCGAACTATGTCTGTTCAAAGAAATTTGCTTCTAAATCTATCTCACCTTGGAGGTGAAACTATAAAACATGGAGCCTGGAGGGAGGTTAATGATTGATGCAGTGTCCTTGCATCATTCCAGATAATTCCTTTTAATTCTAAATTTGCTTTAGGCCCTGGAGACAAAGAACAGCCTCCTTTTGACCTAGTGTTTATTCTTGCCTTACGGGTCAGTTCCGATGCCATCTCCTTTGGAAAACCTCTAGGGATTCCGCGAGTCGCTAGCGCTGCTTCCCTCCTCAGATTATACTGGATTTACTTACTGCAACCTCCACTCCACAAAATATGCTTCTAGAGCTCTCGGTTCCTCCTAACACCTAGCACGTAAAATGCCTAGTAAAATGCTCGTTGAATTGAATGGTTGGATTCCACCCCTTCACCTCTTAACCTTGGTGCCAGTTCATTCTGGCCTTTAAACACCTTCCTGGACCCTGTCGGGTGTCACCTGCTCCAGTTCAGTTTACGAGGTTTGGGGGGCTGACGAAGATTCTCTTAATCCTAGTCAGTCACTCTGGAAGCTTTCCCTACGTTCCTTTGATGCCCGCACCCCTCTTAAACGGGTCCCACCAAACAGGCAGGCAGGCAGGAGGAGACTGCTACGCCTCTACCTGTGAGATTTCTGCTCGGCGGGGCTGGATTTCCTGCAGCGCTTCTCTCCAGGCTCTTCGGAGAGTTTCGGATCGTAAAGTGCCCTAGGCCATTCTAATGAGACGTAGGGGCCAAGAGAGTGAGAATTCACTCTGCCAGTTCCTTGAGGGCAGGGATTATTTGATTTTCTGGTTTAAATGCCAAGCGCCTAATCTATACCGTAGACATCAATGCGTGTTGATTGGATAGATAGATAATGGACAGAAGTAAGGAGATGCCCAAAAAGACTTTAAAATAAGAGATAATTTACTTCTTCAAGAAAGGCAGAAAAGAAAGGAGAAACAAAAAAAAAAAAAATGCAACACTAATACATGCAATAGAATGGTTGAATTGGCCTTCAGTATCGCTCCCTGGTGGTCTAGTGGCTAGGATTCGGCGCTTTCACCGCCGCGGCCCGGGTTCGATTCCCGGTCAGGGAACTTCCTTTTAACCTAACTTCATTAGACACAGACCTACAGGGAATGAAATCCATCTACCCAAGACCCGCACCTAAAACAAAATTTACTCCCTCACCTCACTTATGGATTATTGTAAATACTGTCATGCACATTTAGTGTGTACGGGAGAAAAAAAGGATACATTGGGAAGTTAATGTAATGTGACAAAGGTGGGGAGGTGGTGGCGGCGGCAGGGAAAGGTGACAAAGTTTTTATTTTCTGTTTCTTCCTCCTCCTCCTCCTTGCTTCGAAAGATGAAGGAATTTTCCTCTCCACTGGCTATGGACCCCTCATTCCTATTAGCATCTGCCGTGAGCCTTCTGCCCACACCAAGCAAGCGAGGAAATTGCGACGGAGAGTTGGAAAGATACCAGAGGAAAGAACCAAGATGCCACGAACAATGAGTAAGGGAGGCATGGTAAGCTCGCCCTCTCATTTATTTATTTTTTAAAAAGGCGATCCTCCACAAAACAGTTCGTGGAACAACAAAACAAAACGACGACGAGAACGACAAAACCAGCGATGAAATTTACTGTCATCTAAGGGAAGTTTCTTTAAAAGATAAAGAAACATAGAACAGATTGGAGTCTCTATTCAAGAAAAATATTTCGGAGAGGGCTCAGACATTTCAGTCCACAGACAAATATGTAAACGATTTCTGACAAGAATGCTCTGGGGGGCTCGAGATTTACATCACCCGGAGAAGTTGGCTTAAGGCTTAGAGCACCAGTCAAGGTCGGTCCCTAAAGAAACCTGAGGAGGCTGAGAGTCCAACAGTGAAATCTTCAAGTAGGTAATCCCTAAAGGTAGAGGATAATGACAGAAAAAAATGATGTCTCTGACCAGGAATCCTAAATTCTATTCTTCCATTGGAATTTCCTTATTACTATCCTAGAATGCTGTTGTTAGGGTTGCTGAATGTTTCCAGGATTAGTTTGTGTGATAGAAAACTTGATTTGCATGGGAGTGGGAGTGCAAATCTGTAATCAATCAAGATATCAATCAAGTCAGAGATTCTTAAATCCTCTTCCTGTTATAGACCCGTTTGGAAGTCTGGGGAAGCCTATAGATGCCCTTTCTCAAATTAATGTTTTTAAATGCTTAAAGTAATACAAATACTTTTGGAAAGGAAAACAATTACATTGAAACACAGATGTTAAGCTATTATGTTTCAGAGTCCCCAAGTTGACTCTCTGATTTAAGTACTAAGTGCCAGATACTGTGCAGAATTCTAAGAATTCAAAGATCAAAGGAGCTTACATTCTAAAGGAGACAACATAACTCTATATAAGACTTATACAAGTTAAATACAAAGTAACTATAGAGGAGACGGCACAAGCAGCTAGGGTCTGGACATTGGTGGAGAGATAAGGAAAGGCCTCGTATGGAAGACTACACTTGAGGTGGGTCTTGAAGAAAAACAGTGATTTCAGGAGGTGGAAGTATGGTGGGAGAACATTCCAGACATGGGGAAAAACAAGTGCAAAAGCATAGAAAAAGAACAGGGAATACTCTGGAGAGGTAAGAAGCTAGTTTGTGAACAGTTTTAAGTGCCCAGAAGAGCCTGTATTTTACCGTAAGTGTAGTAGAGAACCGCTACAGTTTATTGATTAGGGAGATGAGAGAGAATGATGATATAGTCAGACCTAGAATTCAGAAAAAATCGATTTAGGGAGTGTAGAAGATGGATTGGAGTGGGGAGAGACTTGAAGGAGGAAAGCCACTTCCAAAACTAATGCAGCAAACCAGCCAAGAGGAGATAAGTCCTTGATGGGTGATAGCTATATGCTTGGAGATGAAGAAATTAGCCTGAGACATGCTGTGAAGATAGAAAGAGTAAGATTTTGTAACTGGATTGACTGGGTGAGGTGAGTTTGAGTGAGGACTGGAGGATGACACTTGAAAACTTTGGTTTTCAACTGGACTGGAAGGATGACGGTCCCCTCAGCGATATGAGAAAGTTTGGAAGAGGGATAGGTTTGGATGGGAAAGATATTGAGTTCTGTGTTGGATATGCTGAGTTTGAGACGTTCTAAGGAATATCCAGTTAGTAATTTCCGTTAGTAGTTGGTTCAGGTGGTGGGAGCCAACCACTTCTGAAAAACACTAGGGGTAGATTGATCTGTAAGTAATGAGAATATGGGTGGTAATTGGATCCATGCAAACTGATGAATTCTTCAGGTTAGAGAGTGATGAGAGGGAAGAAAAGGGTTCAGAAAAGAACCTGGGGGATATATCTCTAGTTAAGTTGTAGGAAGCAACTGCATAACAAATCCGGGAGGAGACTGAAAGGGAGTGTTAAGATAAAGAAGAGAAGAACTAAGAGAGAAAGCCGAGTCATGAAAACGCAGAAGGGGAGACAGTGGGTTGACAGTGACAGACTACAGGAAGACCAAGAAGGATGAGAAAACCATCACTTATATTTGGTAACTAAAGGGATCGTCATGATTTTGGAGAGTGTAGTTTCAGGTGAGTGGTGTGTCAGAAGCCAGATTACAGAGTTTAGAAGAGAACAAGAAGAGAAGTGAAGGCATCAAATGTAGGTGGAATTTCTATTCATTCGTTTGTTTTTGCTAAGAAAGGAAGGAGCCATAGAGGATGAGAGCTACAGGGGAATAGACTCTAGCGAGGGTTTTGGAAGGATGGGTAGCCCAAATACTCGACTTCGATGTTCCTACAAATGTAACGAATTGTCGAACACACCCAGAGCCGATGCTGAAATACTCCTCCCTTTGTCTTGAAAGAGATGATAGGAGTGAGAGCCGGAAGGCACCATCTAGTCCAAACTCCTGTTTTGTTTCGTTTGTTTTTAATAATTGTGGCCATCCGTAGGTTTTCGTATTAAAAGAACAGCCTCTCGTCCCTAAGCCGGGAAATGTGCTTGTTTGTCGGCCACCTAGAACAAGTCCCAGGCTAGGACTAACTGCACAGGAGCAAGCGTCTAAGTTTTCCTCTCTCTCTCTCTCTCTCTCACTCACTCACTCAAGAAAAAGAAACAGAAAGAGAAAAACCACCTTGGCAATTTTCTTGTGAGATGCTCGGAGTAGGTACTTTCTGCGGGCCCGGATAGCTCAGTCGGTAGAGCATCAGACTTTTAATCTGAGGGTCCAGGGTTCAAGTCCCTGTTCGGGCGAACTACCGCTCCTCTTTTCCTCTCCCTCAAACCAAAGGGCAGGAAACACTCCCATTTCCACCGACAGCCCCTTCAGCCCTGCAAGCTGCCTTCCTTTTGCACTGCGGAACTGCACGTAAAACTGAGTGTGAAAGACCGGGGACACCTGGACGGGGAATTTCACTGCTGTTACTCAACTCCTCTCACCCCCCCCCCCCCCCCCCCCCCCCCCCCCCCCCCCCCCCCCCCCCCCCGCGGCGGGTTAGAGAGGAAGAAAGGGGACGATCCCACAAAGTGCCCAGACTGGATCCTGAAAAGAGAAATGGCCCTAGGCACGCAGAGATCAAAGCGGTTTCTTGGGACGTTCCTGCAGCAACCAGACTGAATGTTGCTGAGGCGGCAGCGGCTCAGCGCGGACTTCTGTCCCATTTACGAACCTCCAGGTCAGGGAGAGAATACTCAAGGGCACAGTACAACTACTTGCAAAGGAACTCGGCTTAACTTCATTAAGTTCACGGGATGACTTAATCCTCAGCCAAGGGCCAGTGGCGCAACGGATAACGCGTCTGACTACGGATCAGAAGATTCTAGGTTCGAATCCTGGCTGGCTCGGCTTCATTTTCCCGAAAAACAGCCTCTATGTCAATTATGCTATTAAAATCGAGGAAAAAAGTTAATAGACGTTTCATAACTCAGATGAGGAATGAAATTAAGTATATCTTCGAATTTAAGTTGTTTGTAGTAGAAAAATGATCGAAAATATCAGTAAGTATATAAGACCCGAGAATTAACTTTCAGAATTGGAAGATAGACTTCAGCATTCATGGGCCACTTGTCATACTTAACTTTTCTGAATCTTGGTATCCCCATTTATAGAATAGGAGAATTTTAAAATCCTGAATTTCTTTCCCTTAAGTTTTGCAGTGTTTTATGTTAATAAGCAAACGAACCCTTTTCCTTTAGTACTTGGTTTTCCAGAGTTGCTTTGGTTGCAGGGGTCAAATATGCTATGGACAACCCGAGATATACATTAATATCCTTAATCTATCTCAAGATAGCCTCAAGATCACTAGTCAAACCATCTATCACATAGTAGGCAGCATATAAAATGATCGTGGGATTGAATTGAATTTTGAAAGAGGAAGGCTCCCTCTACTCTGGGCAAGTCTTCGATGAAAGCTTTTAAATCAAAGATGGATCAGTCTCATTGAAAGAGTAGGCTGGGGCGTTGCTGGGGCATTACAAGCAATTCCTGGGGAAGAATTAGTCACGTAAGAACTCAGAACATTTCCAATATTCACACTCTTCCAAGTGCATGTTCACTGGATACATTCTTAAACTTCTGGAAACATTTATAGTTTCCCCAGTACAATAAAACTCTGTTTCTTTAATATTCTAAAAGGGTGGAAGGTGATGTGGGCAATTGGAATACTTAAGCCTTGCCTCATCAATTTCAGTGGCCAGCATTTCTGAGCCTGCTTAGCTGGCGGTGTTTAAGATCTCTAGATTTCAGAAAGGATGAGGTATGAAACAATTATGTGGCCGGGATGATGCTTTCAAGGAGTTTATAACCTTTTTTCACTCTATCTAATCGGTAGGTGAAACCTTCCCATGTCAACTAAAGAGCGAATTCTGTCCTGCTCAAAACTATTAGGGCAGGGCGTCTGCGGCTTCCTCCCCGGCCTATCTCCATCCAGCCCCCAAAGAGAGCTTCAGCAGAACATAACACAGAATTGCAGCTTCATGGACTTGTTCTTTTTATTGTTCTATTATACATATGGCAATGCCCATTTTACTAGGTGTTTGTTAAGTTCAGAATAAAAACAAATTAGCAAAATATTTTCCATGTCACTTCAAAAGTCAGTTCCTGTTTCGTTTTTTGAAATACCTGCAGAATTCCTTTACGCATCGGAATCTGATTTAATTGCTTACTTAACCCAAATTTTGTGGCGCAGAGGGTACAGTGTTGGGCCTGAAGTCAGGGAGCCTTCTCTTAGTGAGTTCAAATCTGTCCTCGGACACTTAGTAATACCCTGGGCAAGTCATTTAGCCCTGCTTGTCTTAGTTCCTGGTCAGTAAAATGAGCTGGAGAATAAAATGGCAAAGCACTCCGGAACCTTTGCCATGAAAGCCCCAAACGGGGTAACGAAGTGTGAGAGACACCTGAACATGTGGATTGTAGCTTTCTTATATCTCTGAGAGCGGTTTTTCGGGAAAATGAAGCCGAGCCAGCCAGGATTCGAACCTAGAATCTTCTGATCCGTAGTCAGACGCGTTATCCGTTGCGCCACTGGCCCTTGGCTGAGGATTAAGTCATCCCGTGAACTTAATGAAGTTAAGCCGAGTTCCTTTGCAAGTAGTTGTACTGTGCCCTTGAGTATTCTCTCCCTGACCTGGAGGTTCGTAAATGGGACAGAAGTCCGCGCTGAGCCGCTGCCGCCTCAGCAACATTCAGTCTGGTTGCTGCAGGAACGTCCCAAGAAACCGCTTTGATCTCTGCGTGCCTAGGGCCATTTCTCTTTTCAGGATCCAGTCTGGGCACTTTGTGGGATCGTCCCCTTTCTTCCTCTCTAACCCGCCGCGGGGGGGGGGGGGGGGGGGGGGGGGGGGGGGGGGGGGGGGGGGGGGGGTGAGAGGAGTTGAGTAACAGCAGTGAAATTCCCCGTCCAGGTGTCCCCGGTCTTTCACACTCAGTTTTACGTGCAGTTCCGCAGTGCAAAAGGAAGGCAGCTTGCAGGGCTGAAGGGGCTGTCGGTGGAAATGGGAGTGTTTCCTGCCCTTTGGTTTGAGGGAGAGGAAAAGAGGAGCGGTAGTTCGCCCGAACAGGGACTTGAACCCTGGACCCTCAGATTAAAAGTCTGATGCTCTACCGACTGAGCTATCCGGGCCCACAGAAAGTACCTACTCCGAGCATCTCACAAGAAAATTGCCAAGGTGGTTTTTCTCTTTCTGTTTCTTTTTCTTGAGTGAGTGAGAGAGAGAGAGAGAGAGAGGAAAACTTAGACGCTTGCTCCTGTGCAGTTAGTCCTAGCCTGGGACTTGTTCTAGGTGGCCGACAAACAAGCACATTTCCCGGCTTAGGGACGAGAGGCTGTTCTTTTAATACGAAAACCTACGGATGGCCACAATTATTAAAAACAAACGAAACAAAACAGGAGTTTGGACTAGATGGTGCCTTCCGGCTCTCACTCCTATCATCTCTTTCAAGACAAAGGGAGGAGTATTTCAGCATCGGCTCTGGGTGTGTTCGACAATTCGTTACATTTGTAGGAACATCGAAGTCGAGTATTTGGGCTACCCATCCTTCCAAAACCCTCGCTAGAGTCTATTCCCCTGTAGCTCTCATCCTCTATGGCTCCTTCTTTCCTTAGCAAAATACAAAACAAAACAAAATACCACCTAAATTTGGTGCTTTGATTTCTCCTCTGGTCTTCTAAATTGTAATCTAGTTTCTGACTTAAAAGCTTCTTGATCGACTGCTGAATTGCACCCCCACCCCCAGGAGAATGGAGTTCTCTATTACAGAGACTAATCTTGGAAATCTTGAGCAGCCCTAACGACAACATTCTAGGATAGCAATCATGAACTTCCCATGGAAGAATGGCATGAGGCGGGAGAGGGTGGGGGGAATGGCATTTGGGATTCCCTGTCAGAGGCATTCTTTTTCTCGTTGCCTTTAGAAGTGGTCTACTTAAAAGCTTCAAATCTGGCCTCCCACCCTCTTCAGGTTCACTGGGTGCTGATCTTGCTTTGTGTCTGAACCAACAGCTCCTCGTGATGTAGACTTCGAATCCCGCAAAGTCTCCAGGTCGGAAATCGTTTACACTTTTGTCTGTGGACTAAGTCTGAGTCCTCTCTGAAATGCTTTCTTCAACAGAGACTCCATTCGGTTCTATTTTCCTCTACCTCTTAAAGACATTTCCCTTGGATGACAATAAATGTCATCTCTTTTTTGTTTTTTTGTTTGTTTTTTTTTTTGCCACGAACTGTTTTGTGAAATATCTACCTTTTACTTTTTCTTTCTTTTTCGTAGATAAATGACAAGACGAGCTTAGCGTGCCTTCCTTTATGGCATCTTGGTTCTTTCCCCTGGTATTTTCCCACCGCTCAGTCGCAGTTTCCACATTCAGATGGTGTTGGCAGAAGGCGCAAGAGAATAAGGAGTCCGCAACCAGCTAAAAGGTAAATTCCTATATGATCTCCGCCCCCGCCAAAAAAGAAAGAAAATGTTAATGTTGCCCTTTCCCCCCTCCCTCCTACATCACATTCATTTTTAAATATATTCTCCCTCCCTTCCTTATTTAGGGAGTTATCTATTGTGAGAAATTAGTTATTTTTTTAAAAAGGGGGATGAGAAGAAGTGAAGCAAAATAAGTTAGTACACCAAATGTTCTCGACAATACGTGCAATATTTTAAATCCATACTTGGGGTGAGGCAGTAAATTTTGTCTTAGATGGGGTCTTCATTACATTGTTGTTGTTTGCTCTCCATTCTGTAAAACGACCAATAACCTCTGGAGGGTGATGTCTTGCCTTGCAAGTGAATTGGATTTAAGTGAGGCAGGTTAGTGCAAAGTCATTCCTTTAGGGTCATCAGAGTCCAGTTGCAAGATATAGGTCAGGGCGACTGGAGATGACGCCGGATGAAGTGGATGACCCTATGCCCTTTTTAAGCTAAGGTCTTTCCCAGGTCTCAGTTTGTCTGAGGCAACACTCATTCAGTGATTAAAGGCTAGATAAGAACTGTGGCAGTAAATAGGGTTAGTTCCCAGTAGGTCTGTGTCTAATGAAGTTAGGTTAAAAGGAAGTTCCCTGACCGGGAATCGAACCCGGGCCGCGGCGGTGAAAGCGCCGAATCCTAGCCACTAGACCACCAGGGAGAGACGTAGAAGGAGCTCTCGCAGGCTTTCTATTGTATGCATTGCTTTTTTTTTTTTTAAAGGTTTTTCCCTTTTTTTGTATTTCTCTTGAAGACGTAAGTTCTCTCTCTTATTTTAAGTCTTTTCAAGTATCTCCTTTCTCCCTTCCATCCATTATCTATCTATCTAATTAATCAACACGCATTGATTAAGTGTCTGGTATAAATTAGGCTCTCGGCATTTAAACTAGAAAATCAAACAATCCCTGGCCTCAAGGAACTTGCATTTCATCCCGCAAACAACAGGTGCTTAGAGAACCACACGCACAGTAAACGCAACTCTCTTCCCACAGGGCGAAGGGGCAGACAACTCAAGACAGCTGGGATCACAGAACGCCTTCTTTAACAACGAAGATCTCCCCTTCCTCAGTCCCAGTAGGACCTGGCGCTTCGGGGGCTCTTGGAAGGGACTTAAGCATTTCTAAATCCCAGGAGAGCACTTGGGGCGGGACGAGAGGGACAAAAACACAACACTGTGCAGTATTCAGTCTAGAAACTGAGCCTGCATGCAGTTTGGGAGCGGCTTCTGTCTCGTTATACACGAGTAATATACTGGAATCTCCAGGAGCAGAGTGAACACTGACTCACTCACTTGGCACCAACGTCTCATTAGGATGCCCTAGGGCACTGTACGATCCGAAAGTCTCTGAAGGGCCGCTGCAGAAAATCCAGCCCGGCGGAGCAGAAATCTCGCAGGTAGAGAGAGGCATAGCAGTCTCCTGCCTGCCTGTTTGGTGGGACCCGTTTAAGCGGGGTGCGGGCACCGAAGGAGGGTAGGGAAAGCTTCCAGGGTGACTGACTAGAATTAAGAGAATCTTCATCAGCCCCCCAAACCTTGTAAGCTGGACTGGGGCAGGTGACACCCGACAGGGTCCAGGAAGGTGTTTAAAGGCCAGAATGAACTGGCACCAAGGTTAAGAGGTGAAGGGGTGGAATCCAACCATTCAATTCAACGAGCATTTTACTAGGCATTTTACGTGCTAGGTGTTAGGAGGAACTGAGAGCTCTAGGAGCATGTTTTGTACTAGGAAGGATGTTGTGGGGAGAGTGGAGGTTGCAGTAAGTAAATCCAATATAATTTGAGGAGGGAAGCAGCGCTAGCGACTCGCAGGATCCCTAAAGACTTCCCAAAGGAGACGGCATCGGAGAACACCTTTAAAGAAAGCAAGAATAAAAACGAGATGAAACGGAGTACCCCGCCCCTCCCATCACCCCCTCCCCCCCCCACCCCGGTCTCCAGGGACTAAAGAACATTTAAAATTACGTGAAATTATCTGGAGTGATGCTCGGATGCTATATCAATCCCCAATCTCCTTACAGGCTTCCAGGTTTTATAGTTTCACCTCCCGGACAAGATAGATTTAAAGGTAAGTTCTTTGAGCCGACAGAGTTCTGTGCATATAAATACCCCAACCTCATCTCCTCCCGCCTCCTCCTAGCTAGGAAAGAGTAATAGAATTCGAGAAAAAGGTATCTTGGATTATAGAGGGCCCTTGGAAATCATTATCTCTAATTGATTATGCCCAGAGCAGCGTAGGTTAATGGTGCACAGTTGCAGAAGAGGTTGCTTGGTGTTCTGGGGCCTGGAATATTCCAGGACCGAGCTTGAGGTTCTTCTGGACTGATAAGAGGTGTTTTATCGACTAAGACAACATATTGCTCCCTTCAAAAGGGTAAATGGCATGATCAGTCACTCTCACTTCTAAAGTCTGTAACAGTGAAAAACACAGTGATCTTTTTAAGTTGGAAATAAAAGCAAGTTTCATGTCTTTGAATTCTTGGTTTGCTACATTTCAGCAAAATACCATGAATAACTCATCCAGGGTGCGGGGTTCTAAATTAAGGTAAGGGTCGATTGTCTTTGCTCCTCAATTCCTTGTGTACTTTTCCAGTTCTCTCTTGGAGATGTCTTCTCTGCCTCCTATAATTTAAGATTGTCCCTTAAACAAGGAGAATGACAGCCAGGTTGTGCCCCAGTCTTTGTAATCTTATCTTTTGGGTTGGGGTACTGCTCCTAGAATGTAATATTTTGTAGCCACATCCCAAAGTATGATGGGTCCAATATGATACTCGGACTGGTCCATTCTCTTTATCTACCCAAAAGTGCACTATTTCTATCATTCTTTATGCCCTCAAACAGTGTTTACTCTAGGAAATCACTGAATATAGTTTACGTGTAGTTCTTTTCTAGGTTTCCATAAATGTGGGTAATTGGTACTTCACCTCTCAACAAAGCATTCAAAGTAATAAACATACTTTGCATACATGACAGCCGTCATTTCACCACTTAAAATTTTCAGAGGGTGCAAAGGAGCTGATGAATTGCATAAACAACGTGGAAAAGGCAGAAGGAACGTACAGAAATTTATGTGCATTTAAAACAATTTTCTGTTAGTGAGTCCTACTTTTCCACCAGAGTCCTAATGACCTTTCAATTAGATTCCTCTCTGAAGTGATCTCAACTTGGGGCTGCTAGGGGCAACACCTTGTCTTTCTAGTGAAATACTTCTCTGCTCAGGGTCCTGTATGGCTTTAGTAAGATTTAGTAATATCTTGTGGTTTGAGTCCCCAGTCTCCAACCCCAGGAAGGGAAATGGACTTTGGAACTTCTGCAGAGGTCACCCCCTTCCAATCAGACCTAAACTCTCCAATAACCCACCATAATTTGGGAGAACAATGTGCAAATCTTCTGTTATTTCACGTCATGTCTTTAATTCCTTATTGATCTTCTAGATGGGTGAGGATGATGATGGATGATTTTCTTTTCTTTCCAAAGAGGCTCAAGAATTTCCCTTCTCTTGAAGGTCAGCTCTCCCAACTCTTGAACTTAAGGTTACATTGAAGGCAGTCCTGAAGACTTCAAAGATAGCCAAGGAATCTCCCTTTTCTGCCCAAAATATTATATTCTGTGATAGCACCAGATTCCAAACTCCTCCCCACCCCCAATCAATCAACAAGAACTTACTGAGCATCAATTATGTTCCATGAACTTTGCTAGATTCTGAAGATGCAAAGACAAAAGTGAAATAATCTGTCCTGAATGATTTTAAAATATGTACATGTAATGAGGTAGGTGATCTGAGTTCAAATCTGGCCTCAGACACTTACTAGCTGTGTGACCCTGGGCAAGTCACTTAGCCTTGTTTGCCTCAGTTTCTCATCTGTAAAATGAGTTGGAGAAGGAAATGGCAAACCATCCCAGTATCTTTGCCAAGAAAACCCCAAATGGGGTCATGAAGAATCTGACATGACTGAAATACAACCACAACAAAGGCGATCTGTGACCAATTTATTTCTACCCTATCTTCTCAGTTGAGCTATACATTCACTTCCTAATGCAATGTGGTTGGTTGAATAATGCGTGGTTCTGCATCTCTGCTACTGTTGGGATGAGTCAATCAGGTCACTTAATTATCCATTGATCCACTCATGCCATCTGGTATCCTGGAAAATCCTAATGTGAACTCTAGCTCCCAGACTTCTGGAAGTTTAATCTCCCTACCTTTCAAAGCTTACAAAGTAAGCTTGACTTCTTCAATGTTATTCACCTAAAACAGGAAAGCAAAAATATAAAAAGTCAAAAGAAAGAGGCCTTTGGTGTTTACAAGATGCATCTTGGCTAGCAAAGGGGAAGCTGGAGACATCTCCTTTTACAACATTCTTGCCCCTCCCCACCCCCACTAGCCATTAATCAAGAAAAGCCCACCATATCCTTATTACCCAAAAGACAGTCTAGGAAAGCAAGGAAACATATTCATCAAAGCAAGCAAGTACAATATTAATTGGCAAAACCACACAGATTTGTCTGTGATAGAATACTCAAGACAATGGACACGCGATCTATGTCATAGATCCTTTTCATAGCCCGTTGAATTTATGGACTCCTTCTCAGAATGATATTTTTATTTGCATAAAATACACCAGATTTCAAAGGTAGTCACTAATCTTGAAATACATTTATCAAAATATATAGAGGTGTCTAAGATAGATCCATCTATATGTATATATCAGTATAATCATCTATCTACCTATCTATCTATCTGTCTAAACAAGTTCACAGACCATAAGTTCAGGACCCTTGAGTTAGAACTCCTGTGACTCCTGAACAAGATGAAATCTCAACTTAATGAGGAGAGAAGTGTCTACTCTTAGACTCTGGGGGTGCAAGAGCTTTGAATTAAGTAACAGGTTTGGGAAGTAGCTTTCACCCACGTCTTTGGTGGTGGTGGTGTGTCTACCCTATGCCATTCAAAATCTATGGCTCACTTCAATTTGCCCTATCTCTCTCTCTCCTAGAAGTCAGTCAGTGAATCAAGAATCATATTTCCCTTCAAGTGAGCAGGGTCACTGTACTATACTTCAGCGAACCACCAAAGGCTCAGGGGTACTAAATTCTATTTATTAATATATTGATTTGCTATAGGAGACGTGATCAGTTCAAGTTAGCAGTGGAGCAGGAGATGGAGGATCTCACAACGTCAGGAAGTGGTTCCCATTATATCTAATTTTCTTTATGGCCAATGAAGAGCTAGTTACATTAGAAGAAAGAGAAAATGGGGGGACTAGCGACAGAGAAAGAGGGAGGGGGGAGAGAGAAGGGGAACAGAGCTTTTCTATAGTTATATGAGGGGAAAAAAGGAGTTCCCCCATAATATGTCGAGGAATTACTGGGGGAGAAGGTACACCCTAGTTGGGAGTGGGAGTATTTCTACTGATTGAGCATCTCAGCATTCTCATCTGATTGAATTAATCGACCTAAAGTGAAGCAGTGGATGAATATGCTGAGCCGGGAAAAAGTCAACAGATCTGGAGAATCTCTATTTGGCAAATAGGGGCGGAGTCATCAGGGACCTGTGGAATGGGGGGAGTCATACGATATGATAGGCTCTCGAACTCTTGAACTGTAGACCAATAGGGAGGCTGTGACTACATAAAGTCAGGCAAAGTGGAGTTCGGGTTTTCGATCAAGAGATAATCAGAGAGGAATGAGGTGAAAGTGAAAAAGAGGTGGAAGGGTATAGGTTTGTATCCTGCGCTCAAGCATGATTCAGAGGACACGTATCCCCAGTGATCCTAGAATGTCTTGCTTTCCACTCCTGACTAGTTTAAATTATCTCAGTGAATCACGATTTTTCCCTCTCTTACTTCCTGAAGCTTCAGCTTCTGCAACTTCCATATTTCCCAGAGTCAGGTTTCCCATCTTCCTCAAGGGTAGAAGGCATTATCGAGTACTAGCCAGGTAGATCTCTCCCATATAAACGCTAAGAGGTCTCAGGGTAGAAAATGAAGCAGCTTTCCGAAAGTACTTCCGCTCTCTGCAACCCTCTACACATATCTAGTAGTCAGCAAATAGAAAGGGAAAGACTTAGATCTACTATGTCTATATACTAAAGCTATAAAGAGCCAAGTATGTGCACTGGCCTTGAGTTGCAAAGCTGCCAGTGACCTAAATTCTAAAACGTGCTGAAACCCGGGATCGAACCAGGGACCTTTAGATCTTCAGTCTAACGCTCTCCCAACTGAGCTATTTCAGCTTCCGGGTCCTGATAGTTTTCTTTTGCTTCATTTTTTTTTTTAAAGTTTTCATTCCTAAAGCTTTCTCTTTGTTTCTGGTTTTTAAAAGAGTCAAATTTAAGGAAACGTTTTAGGAATAGGAAGGAAAGTGACGCACAGAACCTGAATATTTAACGCTGTCATACCAAAGACAGTGGACTCTTGACTATTCTTTCCTCCTCCAAATGGAGATGAAGTAGAAATGCTTTAGTCTATCACCGAGGCCCAGGAGACTGTTTCAGGAAAACGTGCAGTTTCTTTGAAAAATTGTCTAATTACCATCAAGAAGACAAAGGATCTGTAAACTCATCACTTTGTTGCGGCAACAGACGAAAAGGGACACAGAACCTTGTTGTAGTGGATCTGACTCAATTACACTAGGGAAACCGTAGAGTTGCTTCAGACTGAATCAACGAACGATTGATTATAGGACGCGAATAAACCCGGACGAGGCAGGTATGATTTCCCCACGTCTGGTACACAAAGCTAGCAGTCTCCCTCGGTTAAGTATATACCCTGTGACACCTATGGGTGCATTAATAATGGTTAGCTCTGAAGAACCTCTGTCCCTTAAGAAATTACGCCTAACTTCTACCTAATCTATCAGCAATCTGAGACCGTGAAATCAGGATCCAAGTGTGGTGATTCTACTCTCCTTCACGCAGAAAACAGTTCTCTATAATGAATCGCACAAATGTTTTCTATTAAATTAATTAAACTAAATTTTACTTTCTTCAATTAACAAAGGTGCATTTTCTTTCCCTCCTTCTCCCTCCAGACTCACCCCAAAAGAAAACAAAACCCATGGAACAAATATTCATAGTCAAGGAAAACAAATTTTCACATTGTCTATGTCCAAAAATATGTCACATTCTGCATATTTAATCTGTCACCTCTCTTATCAGGAGGTGCTTCATCCTCAGTACACCAGTATCGTTGTAGGTCATTGTATTGATTAGAGTTACTCAGTCTTTCAAAGCTGTTTATTTTTACTCTGTTGTTAGAGTGTAAATTGTTCTCCTAGATTTGGTCCTTTTACTCAAACAAATCTTCCCAGGTTTCTCTGAAATCATCCTTTTTGTTATTTCTTATATTGCTATAGTATTCCATTATATACCTATACCATAATTTCTTCGGCCATTCCCCAGTTGATAGTCACCACCCTACCTCCCAGATCTTTGCAACCACAAATAGAACTGCT